AGTTGCATTTTGTCATCTTCACCATGTTTTAGCTAAATCCCCTTCCTTTTGATGTCACTTTTCCATTCGCTCCATGCTGCTATTCAAATTTGGTTTCCCAGGCTGATCACTAAAGCTTCAAATGCAATTCCAGCACCTACCATTTCTGTGCATCTAGGACAATGTTTCAATCGTGTTAGACTCAAGGCACCCTCAAAAAGCTTTCACTCATTTTTCAAGTGTAGAAAAACCCCCAAGAGCAGTTCTGTTACAAAGAACTCATAAAGATCACAGTAGGTCATAATTTTTTTAATACTGTGGATTCCTACTGAAGTCTCTGGGTTTATCTTGTGAATCAAGTTTGCACACCAGAGTGCTAACATTGTGTGGCACTCAGAGGCACCCTTGAAAGGATCTCAAAGAAATGTAGGGCAGCAGTTCCCAAACTCTGACAGATTGCACACCATCATTTTAAAAGGATACAACCTTAAGTACCACCAGCAAACATTTCAGTTCAACTTTAAGTACCACCAGCAAAATTTGTCATATCATTATAATAAATCTGTTAACAACTACTACTGACAGGTTGTCTGCGTACCACTGGTGCAGATTGGGAGCTGCTACCCTAGGATATCGCAGCACCTTAGTCGAGAATCATTGAAGTACAGATTGATCCTAGACCAAAGATATGAAGCCCTTACTTTTGTTCACAAGTAACTGTGAAGTCTTTGCACCTTCAATAACTATTCTATATTCCAGCCACAGCTTTTTCCTCTAAAGAAAGGTTTAAGTTGAAACCTAAGGATTTTGAGTCACTCTGCTTGCAATTTCCTATTGTCTACAATAGGCCCCCACCCAACCAAACTCCTGAACTGTTAGCTCCCATCACAGGTAAGTATTGCCATATTTACTCAAATCCAAGGATGACCCCCTCACCATCAGCATAAGAGGGGGAAAAAAAAAAATCTTGTTTTATATTTGAGCATAGCCCAGAGCAGGGAGCAGCTCAGTTCCAGCTTTGGCCCTGGATTCAGGGCTGAAGGTGAAGCTGAGCCACCACCTGTCCTGGGGCACTATGGTTCAGCAGGAAAGGGGCATGTGGCCAGGCAGAGTGCAGGAGAGACCGAAGCCTTCAGCCTCCCCTCCCCTCCCCATCCCACCCTGCTTCCCTCCCTTCTTACCTTCTGCTCTGGTTCCTCCAACTTTGATCCAGCCCCACTAGGAGCTGCCACTGTTTCTACCCAGCTGGGGGTGCTCTCCTGCAGCTCTGCTCCTCTAGATGATAAAGGGGCAGGGAGGGGAGAAGATGTGGGACAGGCAGAGGGCAAGCTTAGGCAGAGGGGGCAAGGGTCTGGCCCCTCATACCCCTGCTGCTGCTTTCCCCCATCATAGCAGGAAGGGGTAGGGGGTGTGTGCAGGAAGGGGGAAATGAATTTAAAAAGTGACCTTCTACTTATAACTTTCCTTGTATAGAAGATAACAAATTTATCATTTTCCATCCTACAAATCTAATGATTGGGGGAGGGGAAGGGGTGCAGGGTGGATATTAAATTCAAAGCAGTCCTGGATTTGGGGAAAATATGCTAGTACCAGAACCCCAGTCAATACTCTCCTCCTACACCAAAAACCTTTGGAGTTAGTTCCATTTTTACCTCTCATAAGGTGATCTACATTGAAGAATTAGATTTTTCCAAGTTTAAACACCGAAATTGCTGCTAATGGGTTTCTAATAGTATCCTACCATGGGCAATGTGCCTGTACTTACCAGCTGAGGTAGTGTAATTCACTGACCATACCGCCACACATTACTTATCTGACCACTGGCATACTTTGGCAGAGTGGGAAATAATGAGCCAGTCACACAAAGCAACTGAATAGGCTGAGTCTATTAAAAAAAGGAAAGAAGAGTGTGTTTTAATGCAGCCAAATGCAAAAAGTTATGCACCCAGATAGAAGGAATGGAAACCCAATCTGCAGAATACAGGATCACATCCTGGAAAGCACAGACTCTGAAAAAGGTTTAGGGATCATAGTAGATAAACTTTTCAACGTAAGCTGTGTGTGCGCAGTCCTGGGGCAAAAAGTGGAACCACAATGTATAAATATGCATGTCTGCACAGGGGAGTAGTGAATAGGGGCAGTGAGGCAATTTAAGCTCTATATGCAGCATTAGTGAAACAAATACTGGCACACAGCATGCACACCAGATAACATTTTAAAAAAGGGTGTTGACAAACTGGAGAGGACATAACCACAGAAATTGTTCAAGCGCTTGATAAAATTTCTTAAGGGAAGAGACTTGAGGTATTCAACAGTGCGATTAACAAAATACACAAAACCAGAGATGACTTGATCACATTGTGCAAGTATACCTCAAAGAGAAAAGGAAGGGACCTAAAGGGCTTTTATCAGGTAGAGAAAGCAAGAAGAACCAATGAACCTGAAGCAGACAAATACACATGTGAACACAGGCACAGCATTTTGACAAGCAGCGATGACAAACCACTTAAATGCCCTTCTTAAGCAAGCAGTAGATTCTCAGATATTATTCTGTTGCCAGTGGGAGTGGAAATTGGTCTGCCTAACTGTAATTCAGAAGTGGGTTACACCATTAAAACGTTTAGGAACTCACAGCTTAGTGAAATGATGATTTGCAGTTTATTTTGGCCCAAGGACCTGCTCATACAGCCTACAGTACTAGCCCCTTATGGTCCAGGCAGTATGAGGGCAGAGGCTTCAATATTTTGTATTGCTTCTCTGTAAATAACTCTGGTCCTAACATGCAGAAATTTGTTACAAACAGTACTGCCATGCAGGGAAACAAAGGTGTGAAAATACAACTTTCACCTCAGGCTCTATCAATTTTCAAACTGCACTGTTTCCTGTTAGCTTCTGTTTCCTCCCTAAGAGACTGCATTAAGCATGATGAACGCCATTCTGCCCCAGTCAGCATCCTCACCTGTGCTCCCAATGCCAGATGCACCAGTCCTTTTGGGAGACAAGTTAATGCCTGGAAAGCCTTGATGAAATTAGTTTAAGGTTCAGATTTACTAGGGGATGACTTTGCTTAGAGTAAACTTATATTCTGAAGCACCTCCTATCTTACATCTTTCAAGTATAGGCATCCTGCAGGTTATCCTGTGCCATTGCAACACCAACTCTTGGCTGCAGCAAGATACACATTTACTTTTTTCTTCTGTTGGTAGAAAGGGCTCAAGTCCTAAGAAATGCTGGGTCATATGTATGTTGACTTATTTTCCAACTCCTTTTTATGTATGATGTATACATTTCTAAAAAATACACAAAGCATGAGAAATCACTCAGTAACAATCAAAAGTGCTATCTAAAAAGCTGCTGGTACAGATCAAAGTATCTTGTAACAATATCACAACAAACATCTTACAACTTTAAAAATTAAGCCATCCTGAAGGGTGTTCTACTTATTGTCCACAAAGAATATCACTGGGGGGAAAAGGCTGCTTTCCAAAGCAGACCATAAGCACTGTTTCTGTTGCTTGCTGGAATGATGCAAGTGAGATACAGGCACTGTAGGGGTAGCACGTGGGTAGAACCAAGGCCACTCCAGTACTTCCTCCCACCTGCTAGAACAAATCTGAATGGAGACAATGTGGGCAGAGTTGCATCAAAAGTTAAACCAGTTATACCCAAGCACAGGGATGCTTGTGAAATACTGCCTGCATAAAGCATTGTATGGTGCTTCACATGGCACAATCAGAGCTGGGGCCACCAACTCTAGTGCAGATAGGGCCAATCTAGCCTCTCATTACACTGTTTTCTTATTTTGTTTAGCTCCTCTGCCAACCATCAGTTCCTTCACATTAATCTACGTCTCCAAACCTAGTGAAGCTATGCTTAATAAGCAGTGGACTTAAACTGACACTCTTAAGTTAACATATTTATTATGGCTTCACTATACGGTATGTAATGTGCAATGAAAATTCTCACCTGCACTTACCATCGACTCTGTGCTGTTGCAGTCTTCACAGTAACTGCCCTCTTAAGAATTATGGGAAATTCCCTCCTACACATTTAGTTGAAAATTTCTGTTAATGACTGGCTAATTGTGGCATTATGATGCAGATTAAATTTAGAAATTCAATGCGTCTCAAGCACTGCTTAAATGTCTGAGATTTGCATGTATCCATTTTTGTAAAAGACAATACAAATATTTTCATAAAAATTTATGTCCTTCTCCTTCCCACCAACAAAAATATAAGTCATCAATAATAGAAGAAAACCTCCAGCTGAAGGAATGAAGCTTGGATACAAAGTTTTCATGGGTGTAATTTATTACCCAAGTTGAACTAAACATCCACATCTCTATTGCAAACCTACCCAAGAAGAGGGTAGTTTCTGCATCCAGGAAAATCAGGTTTAGTAAGAGAAACACATTTCTAGAACTCCATCTGTGTATGCTTTTTTTTTTTT